TTAAGCATTCCTTGTATATTTTGGATATAAATCCTTCACTAAACATGTGCTTCGCAGGTATTTTTTCTTATTCTGTGTCTTGTCTTCTTGGACTCTTAACATTGTCTTTCACGGAGAAGTTTAAATGTTCGTGAAATCCAATTTTTCAGTGTTTGCTTTAATGGTTTGTATCTAAAAAGTTGTTGAGACACCCTAAGTCCCCTAAGTTTTCTATGTTATCTTCTAGTAGTTTTAGAGTAATGCATATTTCATTCAGGTCTATGATGCACATTGAGTTAGTTTTAGTGCAAGGTGTAAGTTCAGTGGTTAGATTCTCCTCCTCCTCCTCCTCCTCCTCTCCTTCTTCTTCATGTAGATGTCCATCAACTCCAGCAGCATTTCTTGAACAGGTCCCATCCTATCTCCATTGCATTAATTGACTTTGTTCCTTTGTCAATGACCAGTTGACTGTATTTGTGTGCATCTGTTTGTGGCATCTACTCTGTTCCACTGATCTACTTGTTGAATCTTTTCACCAAGTCCATGCTGTATTGATTACTGTAGCTTTATAGTAGGTTTTAAAATCAGATAGTGTCAGTCTTTCAAACTTGTTCTTCTTCAGTTTTGTGTTGGCTATTGTGTGTCTTTTGCCTGTCCATATAAACTTTAGTTTCTTTATATCTATATAATAACTTGGCAGGATTTTGATTGGGATTTCATCAAATTTTCAAATCACATTGTGCAGAATTGATGTCTTAACAATAGTGAGTCTTCCTATCCATGAACATGAAATATCTATCCATTTATTGAGATATTCTTTGGTTTCTCTCATCAGAGTTTTATAATTTTAAAATATTTATCTGCATATATTTTGTTAAATTTATACCTTAGTATTTCATATTTTGTGCTCAGATAAATGCTATTGTGTTTTTAATTTTAAATTCAAAATTTGTATTGCTTATATATGAAAAAGACAATTGACTTTTATATACTCACTTTGTATTCTGTAACCTTGCTATTTCCACTTAATAGTCCTATAGTTCTTTTTGTATTTTTTCTGTTCTTTTGGATTGTTTTTACAGACGATCTTGTCATGTGTGAACAAAGTTATTTTTATTTTTTCCTATCTGTATTCCTTTTACTTGCTTTTTTTTGTCCTGTTAAATTAGTTGGTACTTTCAGTGCTGAATAGGGATGATGAGAGAGAGCATCCTTGCTGTGTTGTCAGTCTTAGGAGGAAGCTTCTGGTTTCTTGCCATTAAGTATGAGGTTCTCTGTAGGTTTTTTGTATATATATTTTTATCAAGTTGAGGAAGTTTTCCACTATCCATAGTTTTCTGAGAATTATTATTATTTTTTAAATCATATATGGGTGTTGAATTTTGTCAAATGCTGTTCTGTGTCTATTGATGTGATCATATACATTTTCTTTACCCTTTGATGTGATGGATTACATTTATTAATACTGTACATATTTTGCAATTGTCCCACAGTTCTTGGATATTTAATTCCATTTTTTAAAATACCCATTATTTAGAGTTGTTGTAAGTTCCCAGCCACACTGAGTAGAAGGTACAGAGCCTTCCCATAAACTCAGCCCTCACATAGCACAGCCTCCCTCATTATCAAAATTCCACACAGGCCCCGGCCTGTTTGCTCAGCAATCAGAATGTTGGCCTGAGGTCTGAAGGGTCACGGGTTTGATTCCTGGTCAAGGGCATGTACCTGGGTTGCAGGTTCCATCCCTGGCCCCAGGCAGGGTTCTTTGGAAGGCAACCAATGGATGTGTCTCTCTCACATCCATGTTTCTCTCCCTCTCTCTCTCTTTTGCTCTCTCTTTCCCTCCCTCCCTTCCTCCCTCCCTCCCTCCCTTCCTCCCTTCCTCCCTCCCTTCCTTCCTTCCTTCCTTCCTTCCTTCCTTCCTTCCTTCCTTCCTTCCTTCCTTCCCTCCTTCCTTTCAGTCTATCTAAAAAATCAGTAGAAAAATATCCGTGGGTGAGGATTAACAACACTAACAAACAACCCCACGCAGGAGCGTTGCAGTCAATGAATTGATGCTGGAACCAGTATGTCTTCCAGTCATTGCAGAGTCTCTGTTTGAACGCTGGGGCGTAGTTTTGACCCAGCCAGACAGCTGACGGCTCTGCCTTTTCCTTCACTTCCTGTTTGCAGAAAGCGTCAAGGTCAGCCAAGGTAAGAACTTAGGGCCTTCTGTGTTTCTTTCTGAGCACGGGCACAGACCTGAGCATGCTGTTGGTCTCGGTTCTCACGTTCTGGCAGAGATTTTCAAAGCCCCTGTGAATATCTCATTACTCAGAAGGCCAAGCTCAGCTTCCCACCTGCTCCCCCCCAACTCTTATCCCATACCCCCGGCACAGTTGAAGTTAATCAATTGTCTGTAATTGTTTTTGACAAATGCCTGCAGGGAGAAGGCTTTTCACAGTGGCTGAGTTCTGAATCCAATAAAAGACAGGCAGCCTTGCAGGTGGGGTCTGCCCGAGAACCACCAGACAATCCCACGAAGACGATTCCCCAGGAGTGAGGCTTTTCAGAAGCTCTGGCCCTCTTCCGCCTAATGGCACCCAGACTATTTGTTGTCACTGTAAATGCGAGCTGTTAATTTTTGAGGCTACCGCAACGCTGCAGACTGGAGGATGAGACCATTCTCCAGTTAAAACAGTACAAAGACCGTTTTTCTTACTGAGATGCAGCCATTCTTTTGACTAAATGCTCCTGGATTATTGAAAACCTTTGGTTAATTTCCAGAGTGCTTCAAATGTTGATTCTGACCTTATTTACAACAGTTTTTTTTTGTTTCTGAATGGAGTGAAGCATTACCAGAGTTTCACTAGGCTACTAGCGTGTGTTTTGTATGTAGTGTTACTTTGATATTCACTATACCTACTATTAGAAGAAATAGTACTGACATGAATAACTCTGGATCAAAAAGACATTTTCAAGTTAACAATGAGAAGAAAACACGTTATGATGTGTTTCTGAACGATGCGAAGGGAGGTGGGCAGCCAGCCTCCAGATGCCCCCGTGGCCCGTGTCCCCGGCTGCGCTCCCGTTTGCGGTCCCCGTCTCCATCCTGAATCAGGGCTGAGCCCTGCGCCCGGTGGGATATCGTGGAGGTGACGATGTGTAGCTTCTGAGACACGTTCACGAAGTATGTGCCTCTTCTACCTCGCTCTCGTGGCTAGCTCCTCCTGAAAGGCTGCTTGCTGGGTGTGAGGACACCAGGGAGACTGAGGGCCCGGAGGAGAGGAAGGGGATGTCAGCCCCGAGAGTGCGCCGCCTTGACCTGACGTGCCGACCATGCCTGCCTCCCAGCGCCGCGGTCCTGGGCCGCGCCTGACCCACCTGTGTGATGAGCCTTTACCTGGGTCTGCCAGGCCAGGCTGTTCCCCAGTTCTTGCCGAACAGAAACTGTGAGATTTTACACGTGTATCGTTTTAAGCCACTAAGTATTTGGTGAAATTTGCTTCTCAGCAGTTGATAGAGTAAGCAGTCGAAAACATTTATCTACAAGGGAGCAAACGTTCTCAAGAAGAAATGTGTTTTAAAGGGTTACCCCTGAGAAAATACCAACCCCAGACTGTCATAAGGGCCCTTTCACACCTACCAAACTCTCAAGGTTGGGTGCAGAGCGCAAAAGGAGATTTTTAATTGTAACTATTCTCTACTTTCTGATGATGGAATAACTCCATTACCAAGATCGGACAATGATGATCATAATCTCACTTATGAATATAGATGCAAAGATTTTTAAAAAATTATACTAACAAATAGAATCTAACAAGGTAATTTTACCAGAAATGTATTATATCTCTGTAAAGCTATAGTGATTTAGACCTGAAGTACTGGCATCAGAAATAAAATATATTCATGGAAAATCATTTAAGAACTCAGGAACAGAACATATTGATACTAAAACCAGTTATAAAATAGTCCATTCTTTTCATACAAAGTTGAAGTGTCTTAATCTATATCATATACAGGTATGATGTATTAATAATAAAATGTATGTATATGGTACATGGATAATAATTTACACCAAATATATATATATATTTTTTTACAATTATATTTTTACATTGAATTACATTCCACAGGCAAAGAATAAATGTCTCTAATCTAAAAATAGATATTAGCAATAGCTGAAAAAATAAGTATGTGGGTTATAAAATAATTGAAAAAGGATAGAAAATAATTTAGAGAAGAAGAAATTCAGATGCTAATAGATATTTTAAAAGGTCTAATTTAGGTGGTAATACAAAAGAAAAAAAGTTAAAACAACTAGAAAGAACACCAATTTCCTAACAAACTGCCAACATTTTTCAAAAAGAACAATAGCCATTGTTGGGTTAGTTCGAGGAAAAAAACATGAAGAAATTGAAAACATGTCTGGAGATTATTTAGCTAGTGCGTTTATGGTGTCTCCCCAGATTCACATGTTGGGGTCCTAAAGCCCAGCTGATGGCATTAGGAGGCGGAGCCTCTGAGAAGTGAGTAGGTCATGAGGGTGGAGCCTTGTGGATGGGATTAGTGCCCCTGTAAGAGAGGCCCCAGCTCCCTGCCCCTCTGCCCCATGAGGATGGCATAAGTCAGTGGGCCACGCTGGCCCACTGAGCTCAGACTCCAGCCTCCGGAACTGGGAGAAGTAAATGTTTGTTGTTTACAAGACGCCTGCTGTGTCGTGTTTCTGTTAGAACACCCCGAATGAACGGAGACAGCCAGACTATGTCAAGAGGCTTAACATTGATCTGGGAATTGTATTTGATGCTCGAAATATGAACGTTGTTATCACCATTATTGCTTATCTGTGTTTTCTTTATATATGTCTTATTTTTAGCCAAAGAAATACATTTAATAATCTTACAAAGGTTGCTGGTCCTTTCAACTAGCAGGCAGTGAGCAGTCTGTTGTGCGGAGGGGGTGTCACATGCGCCTCCCACGGAGAGTCCCCGTGCTCATGCTGGTGTCCGTCCCACTCACCACGCTGGGAAGGGGCTACATACCTGCAGGTAGCGGACCACTCGGCACACCACATCAGGTGCCATGAAGTCCCCGGTGAATCGCCAAATGATATCTGTCAAGATGTTCACCAGTCCTGTGAAGGAGTCTAACAGAAACACACAAGGATTAATCTCAGTCTCTCATGCTCAGTCACGTGCCACCGTAGAAATGAATTCCCGGGAGATCCCCCCCCCTCCCCCGATTTCTCAGGAGGCTACTGAGGAAAGAGTCAACACAGGAGCCCCTTGCCTTTTATCATCAGAGCTTGTCACCACCTGGATGGTGCCCCCCAGGAAGGACTTCGGTAATGACTGAAGGGGAATTGTACTAATCACAGAGTTGACTTTTTAGGACACAGATATCTGTGTTAAGGGGGTTTGGCCTGTGTTTAAACAAGAACTGTGTGAGGACCAATAAAAGGCAAATTTATGAAAAGGAAAATATTTATCTTCGAGAAGCCCCTCAAGATTCTCATTTCTGCACCCACTGTTTCACAGCTTGGACCTCGTGCTGTCTCCCTAGCACCGATTACAGCCCCTCCATGTAGGTTCCTCTGCTTTCGTCCTTCCTTCTTTAGCATCTGCTCTCAGGAAGAGTGGAGTGATTCAAGCACTTGGTCAAACCGCAGAGGAACCGAGGCCAAGGTCAGAGACTTTGTGCTCCTGGGGTTACCTTCGCTCAACCCTGTAGGTTGTACAGATGTCAGTAGAAGAAATGGTAAAATATGAATGTCTAGAAGCTCCTTTGTGTCCCTTCCTGACAGATATCACTACTGATCATGTGATCCAGCATCTTACTCAAAACCGTGCTGCAAGGATTCTCTGTGGATTGATGGATGGAACTGGAACTTAAAACTGGATACATAAGAAGTCATTGACCTTGGGTCACTTTCTTAGGACGTGGGATATAATACTGTCAAGAACCCTAGAACCAGGGCAAACTCATTGCTAGGGTAGATCTTAGAAGCTTGGAGAGATCATCAGTCCTTCCTAAACAAAATGGAAATGCCTGAGTTGCCCTGGTAGAGAAAAGAATAAAAAGACCGAGGGCCCTGGCCGGTTTGGTTCAGCGGTTAGAGCGTCGGCCTGCGGTCCTGAGAGACCCGGGTTCGGTTCCCGCTAAGGGCACGTACTTCGGTTGCAGTTTGTCTCCGGCCCTGGTCGGTTGTGTGGGTGGCAGCCACTCGATGTGTTCCTTTCACATCGATGTTTCTCTCTCTCTCTCTCTGTTCCTCTCTCTCCCTCCCACTCTACCTGAACAAAAAATGGAAAAATGTCCTCGGGTGAGGATAAAAAAAAAAAAAAAGACCGAGGGAAATGGACATGCTGTCAATGATGGAGCATGTGAAGCCAGAGACCCACCAGAGAATTATGTTCTGTAGTCTCAGAGGACCCGTCATTCACCAAGTCCACTAGGAACGTACTGGTGAGAGGGAATCCAGCATCACGAGGAAGTTCAGTGGTGGCTCCCAGCCGTGGGCCAGAGCAGATGGGAGGAGAGATGGTCATAGTACAGGCCTGTGCACTGTAGTGATTCCCCTAGTCCTTCCCCAAAGGGGCCTCCTACCATTATTTGAGGGATTTAACCCTGAGGAAAGAGGACTATCCAGATATTTTGAGGAGTGTTAGGCACAGGGTCTATGTTGACATGATACCTAGAGACTTACAGTGTCATTATGGCCCCACCGTAAGAATAGAATCTTATGGGGCCAGGTAATAAATAGAATTCTGCTTGCAATGAAATGGTCCCCTAGATCTGCAGACCTTTCATTGACCATTTCCCCAGGCCCTGAATATTACATTTGAATCGCTGTATTCGACAGTTGGAACTACTCCATTGTGGGGAAGGCCCAATGGAGTCTTCAATTCATTCCAGTCCTTCAGGGCATGTTTGTCCCTGCAGAAACTGGCTGGGTCCTGGGGAATGACTGCAAACTCACATGTTGGGTCCCTGCAGAAACTGGCCGGGTCCTGGGGAGTGACTGCAAACTCACATGTTGGGTCCCTGCAGAAACTGGCTGGGTCCTGGGGAGTGACTGCAAACGCACATGTTGGGTCCCTGCAGAAACTGGCCGGGTCCTGGGGAGTGACTGCAAACTCACATGTTGGGTCCCTGCAGAAACTGGCCAGGTCCTGGGGAGTGACTGCAAACTCACATGTTGGGTCCCTGCAGAAACTGGCCGGGTCCTGGGGAGTGACTGCAAACTCACAAGCTCAGATAAGCAGTGGCCCTGATTGTAGCTGTGAGCTACAGAGGGTTGAACAGAACCTCACTCTGAAGGAAGGAGTATGCATTTGGCCTGAGTCAGGTGCTCAGAACACGGAGCAGCTGAACAAAGACCCTCCGACACAGGGATGAAGCAGGGGCACTTAGACGTCCATTCCTAGTGGTTTGTGTGCATGGCTGTGCTTCTGCTAAAGAGGAACACAAAAGCCAAAAACCTCTCTGTCGTCGGTTAACTGCGCCAGTGAACACGGAAACCCAGGGCTGTGAACGTTGGAACAGGAGGGAGGCAGGCACCGTGAGCAGCGTCAGTGGTAGGTGCTCAGAGCAAACTGTTGAATGACTTGTCACTGTGGCTTGGCCAAGGTGCCACGGCCTCTTCTTTGCATCAAATCTTTTATTTTGAAGTAATTAGACGCACAAGGAGTTGCAATATCACTGCCAAGAGATTTCATGTTCCTGTCACCCAACTTACCCCACTGGCGACATCTGACAGAACTCGGGTTCGACCCATGGTTTAAAGGAGCATTACTACTCTCACCCCACATTTAACATGACCGTAAGGGATGTTATTATTCTATCGTTGGCAAGATTCTAAGTGTTTGAAATATCTAAAGATTATTTAACCTGATGGAAAACTAGAACATAAGTTCCCCATTTTATAAATGAGTAAGCTAAGGGAGGTTAGAGCATTTTCTTAAGATTCTATAGCAAGTTGGAAGGGAAGCCAGGCTTGTAACCCAGACTCCTGGATGTCAGTGTTCATGGTCGTCACCACCCTACCTGAGTTTTCTTTACATTTATCTTATTTTTTTCCTCCTTTTATTTCCCCTCCCTCATCCCTCCCTCGCTCGTTCCTCCCTCATCCCTCCCTCCCTCCCTCCTTTGTAATTCTATGTCTGTTCTCTTTGATTCCCTGGACTAAAGTGCAGGCATACTCTGCTCCGGCTCCCTCCTCCCTGCCCTAGCTGCCCTGATTTCTCTGGCCCCTTCTATTTATAGGGCCACTCCACCCACAAAAGTTGCTTTTATTCCTTTGGAGACCCGGGGAGATAAATCTTCCCTTTCTCAGATTTCACTGTGAACTGGATAAAGTCGGGGCCCCACCCTGGTCAGTGTCAGAGCTTCCCCACCGTCTGGCCTTGCCCATCCCCCCTGGCATGTTTAGATTGGACACATATTAATCACACATTTGTGTTTTCAAATTTGTTTCCTTCTTGCTTGGAACGGCCTCCCTCCCTTCGTCAGCGGACCGGGTTCTGATCCACCTGTCGGTGTCCAGCGGGCTCGCCCCTCCCTGGGGGCTCCCCCTGACCACTACCGTGGCGTGGTCTGCACGAAACGGCACGCGGGTGTCCGGTCCACGCCTGTGTCTCTTCCTCTGGGTTTCTCTGCAGTGACCGGTGGAAGCACCGTCAAGCCCACTGGGACTACAGCAAACCGTCCAGTCTGGGGAAGAAACCTCACGGCGGCTCTGGGGAGTCAGAAGGTCTCACTGAGAAGTCAGACCTGAGCAGGGTCTTGGAGTCGTAACCGATCACATGGGAGTTTCAGGAAGCTTTTCCTCGCAGAGACGGGCAGGACGAACGAATGGACTGGACCCTGGAGTCACTCGGATATTCTCTCTGGGTTTACTTTTTCCTTAATTTAAAATAATGGGGGGAAAAAACCTAAATGCATGTTCCTCGAGATCAAAGCAGCTCTATGAAAATTATAACGTACTCCAGTAAAATATCTTTTTCCCCTGGTGCTTAACCTTTAAGAAACCCACACCTGGGGGAGGCTAAGTGAAAATATGCGTTTGTCATTTGCTACTACGCAAGTGCTGCTCTACCTGCTCCGTAAACAGCTATTTCGTTGCCCACGTAGTTGAGTCCATCGCAAATAAACCGTTCCTAAATGGTAATGAACAGGACCTGGGGTGCTGTTTTAAAGGCTTAATCACTTCTGTGTTATTACTCTGGCTGCAGAAAATTTATTCAGTGCGAGATCCTAGGAAAGTGTGCGCTCAGAGAGCTCAGAGAGGCTCACCACGGGCCTCCTGTCCCGGGACGTGGTTTCTGGCAAACGTGACGTGGACGCCCAGCTGAGCGAGAATGTGGGTGCAGCGGAGGAAAGGGAAGAACTGAGTGGCTCCCAGCTGAACCCAAAAGGGTCAGTGAGGCTGGGTCAAGGGAAAAGGGAGCGAGGACAGTGATTCCAGACACAGGTGACAGTACAAGCCACACTCGGGGGGATGAGAAAGAGAGATGAGAAACTGCACGGCCGTGGACACAAAGCCACCTGCCTTCTGTGGCTGAAGCTGAACTTGGAGCTTGGAAGTGGCGGGAAACAGGGCTGGAGAGCCCGGAATCCAGACCTTTCAGGGTCCTGTGTGCCAACGAGAGGCGCTTGCATTTTCCTGTGTACCATGGCAGCTAGGAATGTTTATATTCAAGCACGCGTTTCGAATAGATTCATTTATTTACTTGGGGGGGTGGGGCGTCAGTTTGGTAGATTCAATACTGAAATCAGCATTGTACTTGTCAGGGAACTGTGCCGACTTCCGAGAATGAGACCATCGTGCCTGGTGAATGTCAAACAGGACAGAGATATGGAGACGGATGCAGGTCTGAGATATACTTTAGCAGGTAAAAGGTGAGAGGATGACATGTTTTAACTGTGAGGCAGAAGTCTCCTGGCTGGCCTGTCCCTGAGGGATGCCGGTACCTCCTGAGAGCACGGAGATAAGCTCATTATATTTGGGCTGTTTTCAGGTTTTGGCCAGTCCAAATGAAGCCAACGTGAGCGTCCCCGTAATTATTCCAAAGTATCTACCTTGGTTCCAACATCGTAGTCATCTGTCTGGTTCTGTTGGCTGCTTTGGCTCCTGACAGTGAGTGG